ACTACTCTCCAGACCCACCAGACCACTCGCTCCAATATCCACTATTTCTCCTTTTTTCTTATATTAGAAATTGTCTTCAAACTTGGAGCAAAAGTGTGTGCATTTCGTTGCATCTTTTCCTGTATCTGTCGCTGTAGATAACATCGCTGTAATCTGTTTAACTTTCACTGTATCGGTTGCTGAAGGTAACATCACTGTATGCTGCTGTATCTGTTACTGTATCTGTCGCTGTAGGTAACATCACTGAATGCTGCTGTTCTTTCCCTGTATCTGTCGCTGTATCTTTCACTGTATCTGTCGCTGTAGGTAACATCACTGTATGCTGCTGTATCTGTCACTGTAGGTAACATCACTGAATGCTGCTGTTCTGTCCCTGTATCTGTCGCTGTATCTTTCCCTGTATCTGTCGCTGTAGATAACATCACTATAATCTACTGTATCTGCTCACTGTACGTAACAACAGTGTAAGCCTCTAGCTTTCGTCACTGTCTGGATATTATTTCATAATTGGTATGATTATTACCCAGGGCTTTTTCTATTGCCATTTTGTAGTCCCATTCCAAATGGAAAATGTTGCTATTATTTCACAAAAATAAAACCGGGGGAAAAAAAACAGTATTTGGGTATAATTCCAAAAATGTTCAAATTGGTTTCCGAAAGGCATATCTTCTCAAATTTTAAAGCCATGGACCCTTTCCTAAATGGCGAGAACATGGCGTTGTTGGGAGTCTTTGCCAGTATTTACACTTTTTCACCTGGACAGTTAATTATATGTATTAAATATCTCGCCACTATTTAAGGTTCCCGTTCAAACATTCCACGATATGTCAGATTTGGGAGTCAAACCTATGCCGTCTTGATGAACTAACCACCCTGTGTTGTATGCCATCATAGATATCAATATAATACATTTTAATCCTCACATTTATATGCAAATAATAAAAGGAAATGTTATGTGGTTTCTTGTTGGTGACGATACATTTTTACAATGTCGTGTTTTCTCTGGATACCATTTCAGTAAGGCGACAATCATAAATCAGTAGTAAATACCGCGACAGTTTTGCTGCCGTTTATTTTTCGCCTCTTTTGTCCGCCATAATAAGGGCGAATTTAATTTATCATTATAGCGACCATATTAAGTAAACAACATAATATACATACTGATTAAATGTGGAGGGCAGAATTATTACTGGGTAAATGTGGGGGGCAGAATTATTACTGATTAAATGTGGAGGGCAGAATTATTACTGATTAAATGTGGAGGGTAGAATTATTACTGATTAAATGTGGAGGGTAGAATTATAACTGGGTAAACAACATAATTTACATACTGATTAAATGTGAAGGGCAGAATTATTACTGGGTAAACAACCTAATATACATACTGATTAAATGTGAAGGGCAGAATTATTACTGATTAAATGTGGAGAGCAGACTGATTACTTATTAAATGTGGAGGGCAGAATTATTACTGATTAAGTGTGGAGGGCAGAATTATTACTGATTAAATGTGGGGGGCAGAATTATTACTGATTAAATGTGGAGGGCAGAACTATTACTGGGTAAACAACATAATATACATACTGATTTAATGCGGAGGGCAGAATTATTACTGATTACATGTGGAGGGCAGAATTATTACTGATTAAACAACATAATATACATACTGTTAAATGTGAAGGGCAGAATTATTACTGATTAAATGTGAAGGGCAGAATTATTACTGATTAAATGTGAAGGGCAGAATTATTACAGGGTAAACAACATAATATACATACTGATTTAATGTGGAGGGCAGTATTATTACTGATTACATGTGGAGGGCAGAATTATTACTGATTAAATGTGGGGGGCAGAATTATTACTGATTAAATGTGGAGGGCAGAACTATTACTGGGTAAACAACATAATATACATACTGATTTAATGTGGAGGGCAGAATTATTACTGATTACATGTGGAGGGCAGAATTATTACTGATTAAACAACATAATATACATACTGTTAAATGTGAAGGGCAGAATTATTACTGATTAAATGTGGAGAGCAGACTGATTACTTATTAAATGTGGAGGGCAGAATTATTACTGATTAAATGTGGAGGGCAGAATTATTACTGAGCTAATATGGATTATTCTGACAAAGGGCAGATATTTTTTCAGAAATTTCTAGTTTGAATTTGACGTCATGTCATGGTTGGTCCCCGATCACTCTTGCGATGATGGACTCGAGTTGTTTCTTACTGGAAACTATTTTGCCTGGTTCTAAGGATTGTACAACAGAAATGTAAATATTTAAGTTTAAACTGTGTTCTGTTCATAGTTATAGCCCTATAATTCTCAGCAGATTTAGACAAATCCAATAGCATGTGTTCGAGTATCACGATTATTTTTCACTAATCCTATTCAAATTTATAGGGCTATGTGTACAGAATATAATTTAAAACTACAGTATTTGTAAACCAATATATTTTAGCGGAGGTCTTACTTTAGTGCTTTTCACTCATGAAATATTGCACTTAATTATGATTGTATACAGATCCTGAACATTGTTTTCCATAACATAGAATATGAGGGCGCCAATTTATCAATGCTGTTAAAATTTAATTATGCACAAAAATTTGAGTGCACAAAAATAATCATGTTAACAGAATGTTTATATGGTACATTGATTTTGACAATAAATTTTGTAATATGTTGTTATTTGTCCTTCAGATTTGAGATAAATTTTCAATCAATGAATAAAACAGCGACTAGTCAGTATCAACCAGCCATCTGACATGTTATATTTTTGTTGTCGCAATCGTAACGATGTCACGTTCAAAACACCCAAATTATGTCAGAGCTGACATCTGGTATGAAAATAACTGGGGGAACCATAGCTGAAAAAGGCAAATCAATGTGTTTTTATTTTTATTTGTGATGGTCCGATACTCTAAAATAAACAAGCGGCTCATCGGCCTTAACGGTCACCTGACAACCGATTCAAATTAGGACTGTCATCCAGGGGCCAATTCATACTTTTCCTCAGTCCAAGTGATCTTGCTGCATCATCCATTAATTTTTCCTTTTGAAAACAATAACTTCAGTAAAAATGAACCGATTTTGATGAAACTTTGTATGCAGCTTTGTATCAATGAGATCTTGGATGAGTTTGAATACCGGACCAATTTGACCATAACTTACATAGTTATTCCCCTTGGTAATTCTATTATTGTTGGACCCTGTGAACACGATAACTGAAATAAATGGGTGTGACTCAAATTTTGACCCAAGGGGTCTGTTTTGAACAAATTTGGTAACTGTATGTCTTCTGTTCTTGGTTAAAAGAAACAAGTAAAAGCGTAAGTCAATGATTTATTAAATAAGGCACAAGATTTTAATAGCACCTTGTTAGTAGCAAAAATGCGTCATGAATGAAAAAAAAGATGTACCACATGAATTTACATCTATTCTTGTGTAATGTCAATCAACATCACAGGGACAAATAATAATATAATGACAAAGGGCAATAACTCTGCAGGTTACCGTTAAATAATTACCGGACAAAGTTTCATTGAACTCCATTAACATTTATTCAAGTTATCGTGTTTACAAGGTCCAATAATAATATTACAAAGGGCAATAACTCTGTAAGCTACTGTCCAATAATTCCCCTTTTCGAACTCGTCCGAGATCATAATACATATATGGATGTATACAAAGTTTCATCAAACTCGGTTAACATTTACTCAAGTTATCATGATCACAAGATCCAATAATAATAATATTACAAAGGGCAATAACTCTGTAAGTTACTGTCCAATAATTTCCCTTTTTGAACTCGTCCGAGATCATAATACATATATGGCTGTATACAAAGTTTCATCAAACTCGGTTAACATTTACTCAAGTTATCATGTTCACAAGATCCAATAATAATAATATTACAAAGGGCAATAACTCTGTAAGTTACTGTCCAATAATTCCCCTTTTCGAACTCGTCCGAGATCATAATACATATATGGCTGTATACAAAGTTTCATCAAACTCGGTTAACATTTACTGAAGTTATCGTGTTCACAAGGAAAAGTTAACGCACGACGCACGAGGACGGACAAAAGGCGATCACAATAGGTTACCATGACCTATGGTCAGGTAACCTAAAAAAAAGAATTAGTATTACCATTGAAAAGATCTTGAAATATCCCAGTATATTATTCTTTTCTTTTAATTTCTCTGGTCTTGAACGAGCTCATGTATATGTACTATGAGGATCATGCAAACCACGTTAGAATGTAATTGATCTTTGAGGGGATTGTTCCATGCTAGAATGTAATTTATCTTTGAGGGGATTGTTCCAAGCTAGAATTCCCTATCCATCTCGAACAGGCAGAGCTGTACAACTAGGGACAAGGGCAAACATGTATAGCAAGTTTCATAACAATACCCAAAGTCCGTTCTGAAAATAGCGGTTATAAACTTACATGCAGTATCTATACAAAAACCAATGATGGCCTTTTGTTTTTCTGAATTTGAGGTAACGTAACAGGTTTCTTTACAACCCTTCAGTAGTTTCTGAGAAATAGTACGGACCAGAAAACTTTCCCCCAGTCAATTGTTCGCCTTCCACCATTAGAATCCCTGTTCACCCAGTGTCCATTTCACCCTTTATAGGTAATTACTATATAGGTTATGTTGTGTTCTAATATTCGCAGTCACTGTAAATTCACTGTCACTGTAACACACTTGAAATGCAAATTCAAAGATGGCTGCCTGGCGGTCGTTTTGTTTTTCGTATCCAATTCAAATTGGAGCACGTGACAAGTGGGATCATGCATAGCAAATTTCATTCTGATCCCATTCGTACTTTCGGAGGAATACCGACACACTGACTGTATGACGGACGGATGCTGCACCATGAAATTAATGTGATTGAAACAGCCAAACATGGCTGAAAAGGATTCACTAAAGATATCAGCAATGATTAACGACACGGAAACAGAAGACACAAGACGTGGGTAAAGATATCTGTACTTTATTATTGCTCGACTGTAGTTGTCTGGTCTGGACAACAGTACAGTTAAAATCCGTAAACAATCAAGGTCGTAACAAAGCTAGGGGTGTGCTAAAGGTCAAAGTTCACGGGAGAGGTCATTCTAAGGTCACAGAAGAGGTGCAATGCATCCAGAACCAACTAACCATAGTAACTCTTCTGTAAAATAGAAACTGTGCAAATTCTTACATACGATAATTGGTATATAATATATGTATATAATATATGTAATTTATAATTATATATAATTTTTGTCTATTGATGATGTAAAGCAGGACAGATTTGCAAAATATATGATAATTATTTTACAGATCGCTGGCCTAGCTATTCAAAAGAGGTAGATAAAGTGAGCCCCTTGTTACTCGAGGGGGCGATTAATTGATGTAGTTCTATTACAGTTGTCGTCTTATTGGCAACATGAATCAAAATAGGACATATTTGTGTAATCTCTATGTAACACAAAACAAAACTGAAGAACTCTAATGAGAATATGGGGAAAAAAAGAAGAAATAATCGCCATATTTGATGAAATTCAAAAATTCAAAACTCCTAAATCATTTAGCTAAGCACTTGATAAACAGTGCAGGCAACTAATAATTACATAACATGAAAATGTATAAAAAAAACAACCTAACATTATTAGCATAAAGCTTATAACATTTCCCTTCGTTATAATGATTTTGTATTATAAAAAGACCTGATAATTGGTCATCAGATTAATAATTAACAATTTGGTTTGGCATTGACAAAGGTTTGGAGTTAGCACTGAATCTTGTTAGAACTGTTGTAGGTTTTAAATATGAGATATAGAATGCGCTTTAAGTTCCAAAACTCGTAACTTTTTGAAAATATATTGGACTGTGAGATCATTCACTAGATGACCCAAGGAAATAAAAATCATTATAAATTTGAAGAGAAAACGCAAAGCTATAAATAGATTTGAATGTCGTCATGGAGTTGGAACAAGAATATTCAGAGAGAAATATTCATCAGCGAGCATAAAAAATATTTATCTAACAGCACCAACCCTTCATATACGGAGACAACAGACACTTCGTCGAATATACATAAACAAGAAACCTGCTGTTTACATCACTTACAGGATTTTTTTAACATCGTGTGGAACGTGAGGTATGAATTTGGAAATGATATGGGTGTCTTTCATAAGGCTAGAAAAAGCATGTTAATTCTTCAACGAAAGAACAATCGGATGAGAACAAAATGATGGAAGAAAAAAATATCTAAGACAGTTATTGCAGCTCCGTAGAGGAAGAGTTGATAGTTGGTAAAACGTTAACCTCTGAAACAAGGACACGTACAAATACAATTTTACGAATTGTATATGAATATGAAAATCTCAATGTGCACACAAATACATACATATGAAGCATATGGCCCCAATTCCTTAGTCAAAGTAAAAAATAATCTGTTTCCCGCTACATTCTTTGAAAACCGAGGGAAGCTAGACAAAACCTATTTGGAAATTGTTTTTACAAATGCTCTTTGTGATTTGTTCTAAGCCAGTTAGAAACAGGACTTGCCATTTTTCTGACGGGTACATTGCAGGTCTAATGATTTATTTTCATGAAACAGTTAACCAGCTTGTCAACACCATCGTGAAATCAATTCATTTGACCAGTCCCTTTTGAAGTTTACAAATTGAGCAGGGACAAACACAACACAGAAAAAAAATATTCCGCCTTGTCCCCCAGTGTGGGTAATACTTAACAAACAAAAAATGTTGAGGTTGACACCAAAAATGAGATAAATCATTGTAATAGGAAACAGATTTTTCTTTATTTGACCAAAAATAAAACTCTGACGTCGAGAATCAACAACAATGCCAGATTCTTACTCTTTAAGAAGATCTGGCAATACTGTTCAATTTCAACTTCGGGTTTGCTTTAAAAAACAAGGCTGGGTCCCTTTTAAAGTCAGACTCTGTGATTATATATGCCTCACAAACAATTGCCAACTTGTACCCTAAACCGAAGCAATGCTTAAAACAGTTCAGCACACAGGCCTGAGAAAAAAACATACATGTTTCAAGCTCTGAGCAGATATAGATACCGGTATATTGCATTGTTGTTACTTCGACAAAGTTCAACATAATTATAAGTGTCTGCAGGCAGGATCTAATACAAACTAATGGCCATATCATCACAACCAAACAAGTAAAATATCAATCTACTTTAAAATGTTATTCCCCGTATATTTCATTTCACTTTCATCACTATTGTCCCCAATGCCATTTAATGGGGGCCTCATTCCCCCATTAAATAAAAAATGATTTCATAAATTTTATTCTGGCTTAGTGTTTTCAAAGAAAATGTTTGCAATAATCTACCAGCCATCTTGCTTCATGTGTTCATAACATAATTCTGCTGAATGATTGGTAACATTTTGGAATAACTTCAAATAATAGCCAATCAAATCAGTCAAAATCATACTGCCCTGGAATCTAGTGAAAATCCCTGAAATACACACTTGCTAAACATGGTGTCTTAACAAGCAGCACATAACATTTAATTAAAAAAAATCTCGTCAAGATTAATGTTATTCCAAGCTTAAACTTTGAAATCTAAATGAAGAAAACAAGATATTTACAACATTCTTTTAAATATAGCAAAAAGAATCATTATAATGTGAAATTGTAAAATTTGTAAACAAAATATGCACTAAACATAATACATGTAAATGCAGTAACAACACGAACGACAAAAAAACGGGTTACAATGTTGGGCAGTCGGTCATAGACAATGATGGGCCCTCAACGCAAATGTCTCGTAGCACTGTCCACCGTAACACTCAAAACTCACAATGTTCTTCAGAAAAATGCGAAAACTTGCAATTTACAAAATGTTCATATTGACTTTGGAATAAATTTTGTGTTCATGAATTTCATGCAGTGCCAACGAAACACTAGTGACAAGCTGTAAACAGTGAAACATTCTTCAAGTCAAACCTTAGCCCTGCACTGTGAAAATATGTATTTGCCAAGGCTTAATTTTGCCCTTTATGAACACTTTCTATATATTGTTGTACGTTGTGTAATAACATTCGCATGATAAATTCGCCCTAATTATGAAAGGCGAAAAAGGCAAAAGTTAAACCGAGGAGAAAATTTCCTGGTATACAGTGATCACCAAATCTAAAGCTGTTTCACTCCATGTTGTATTTTGTACAATGAGTCGAGGTGAACAGAACGACAGACATTTTCAGTTTTATTGTTGTGTGCGTATGTGGTCGTCTTTTTTCAGGAACCCCGTTCTTGTTAGAGGTGACCCACTCTAAACATAACCTTTAAAAAATGGTAAATACGTAGCCCTTAATACCCAAAATTGGCAAACAGAAAACGGGAAAACAATCAATAACAAAGGGGAAGTCGCTAATCGTAATATTGCTAAATAACATATATAACTGGGGACAATGGATCAAAGCTTGTTAACTCAGATTTTCAAATTTTAATACTAAATATATGGCATTTTTACAAAGGGAAAATTGAATTGAATGCTAACATTTTTTTTCTTTCTAAAAATGTTATTCAAAATTCTGGAAACTATGCTTCGAGGAAAAGGTTGTCACCATATTGTTAAGTTAACCTTTATTTTGAAGGACTGATTTTATAAATATCTTGTAAAAAAGAAGTTTGTAGGTATAACTTATCAGCTTCTTTTACGGAACACCAAGAGTAACATTCAGTTTATGCTTTGATTAAACAGTTACATACAAACAGTATGCTATATGAAATATGTGCTATAATTGGATATTTTTTACAGTCAAGATTTGGTAAAAGTACTCAGGATGGGGCGAAGACAAATTTTATAACTTTACAAGCACAAAAATATGCCAAACAAATTGTTTTGGCATGTTACAATAATGAGAATGTTGAACGTATCCTGGTTACCCCCTCAGATGGAAATAGACTGTTCCTACACAAACAGCATTAACATTCTATTGTGGAAATTTAGGGGTGATCAGGATTGCATGAGAGGTAAAAAGTTGAATAGTCCCGTCAAAAAAAAATAAAAAAATGATATAACGTCAGCTTAGATGATTGATGTCAGTTGATTGATCCGTTCAATAATTCCAAACGATTTAGCAAAAACAGATTTCTTTTTGTCTTTATTAACTACTGGCCATACAAACAGCTTCAATGCTGCATCTTCCCAAAGTCGTCGACACTTTCAAAGACAAATATTCCCTCAACATGTGACAATTTTAAACTACCAGGTATTTTATTTCTGTTGGTCTCTTGAACTGTCAAAGAGACATTGTAACCCATGTCACTCATTAATTAATATTAAGAAAAATAATTAACTTATTAAAAAAAAAAAATCTCTTTGCTGTAAATACCCGGTATAATGAATCACCCGTAAAATAATGGTCTCTATATACCAGTTTCATGTCCCTGATTTAACCGCAGGGAAATCGATTAAGCACAACAAGGGGAGCCTACTCTGTATAGCAAAAATATGAGACAGAAATGGATGTGTACACGCAGGGTTATGGAGCATCAGGATTTGTTGTCCATCACTGGTATTACAGGGGCAACAAAAAATATACAAACAAGTATAACAAACCAAATTATCTACTGTAAGTAGATAGAAACTACTCAGTCTGTGACCATTGTTAATCATGCACGTTGGTCACAGCGGTGAACTGACCAAGCCTGGAGGTCATCACATCCGTGTATAAATCTGGAACGTTTACAGTGCAGTAGTCCAGAATCTTGTTTTCAATAATTAATTTAGAAAAGCATGTAATGAAAGAGACATTTCTAGGTTTGGTAATCCAGAAAAGTTGTTTTTATAGCAATGATAATCGAGTTATTATAAAAACCAATCTGGTGCTGGTGAATCCAGGCTCCGTCACGCTCCACAAGAATAACAGACAAAGGTTTCACCTCAGTAATGCCCAAACTCATTTCTTACACTTGATAGGAAAGATGAAAAGTTACTAGCAATGCCTGTCCATATATGGTCGTTAGTAGCAATGCCTGTCCATATATGGTCATAACTAGCAATGCCTGTCCATATATGGTCATTACTAGCAATGCCTGTCCATATTTAATCATAACTAGCAATGTGGGCCCATATATGGTCATAACTAGCAATGCTGGACTATATATGGTCATAACTAGCAATGCTGGACTATATATATGGTCATAACTAGCAATGCTGGACTATATATGGTCATAACAAGCAATGCTGGACTATATATGGTCATAACAAGCAATGCCTTTCCATATAAGGTTGTATTTCCAATAAACATCATAACTTGACACCCCTCCAACAATGACAACCAGCGTTTGTTCTATCTCCTGTTGTTGCCAAAGGCAATGAATGGCTAGTGACCTGTTGGTACTAATCACTGTATAACAACACACTCGGCTACCAGAAGTGGTATTCAACAAAAAAAACACCCAGAAAATAACAAAACATGATAAACAATTGAGTAACACCTAAAAAATGAAACTACAACTTCATACTGATATTTCATGACAAGAGTTTGGGGGAAAAAAAAATGGTACATAGAATAATGAATCTGTTAATTATCGCACAATTCAACCTTGGTCGCTTTTATAGAAAAAGTCTGTATGAATTGTTCAATACTTATAATGCACCATTTTACAATATTAAGTATAGTCTTTTGCAAAAAAAACAAAAAAAACTGTCTTGCAGAGCATGCCATATCAACCTTCCAAGAAACTTTAAATGCTGCGGAGTACAGTCCATTCATGTAACTGCCATTCCATTTCGTGAAAAAATGTTTCTTTCGTCAAACTTGAATCAATTCATCAATTAGGGATGTGTTCCGTAGAATCTCATCTTCTCACACAGCTCATGGGTCGATCTTCTCACACAGCTCATGGGTCGACCTTCTCACACAGCTCATACGTCGACCACTGAAAAATCGACCGAGCCATCTACTCATCCTGCACCTAAGTGTCCCTGTTACAGCTCTTATTAGGTGTGTTTGATAGATGGAACAGCCAAACAGTGCTATCAGTAGAGGTAACAGCCACATCAGACTTGCTGGCCATTAAATGTAACACCTAATCTGATTGGCTGACCATTAAAAGTAACATCTAATCTGATTGGCTGGCTACTTCTGCTGCATCTGCCCGACAAATAGGACAAGTTCTGTTTGTCTGAAAAAGAAAAAAGAAAATTGTTATTCCCACAGAAAACCCCAGAAACTTTGTAAATAACGTTCAGCTACTGTATTGACCCAACAAAAAACAACTTACAATTGTTAATTAATTATGTTTTTATGTTGATGTTTTTTCAAAGTAATTAATTAACAAATAAAAAATAAATAAAAAAAACACATACTGCATACCAAGACATTTTCGTCCTTCGCCCAAGAAATCTATTTTTGCCCAGTGTTAATTTCGCCCTCCATATTTAAATACTGAGTTTATCGTGCTGTTTACTTATATTAACTGCAATGATAAATTTGCCCTCATTAGGGAGGGCAAAAAAGGCAAAAATTAAACTGCAGCGAAAACTTCCCAGTATACAGTTAACATATATACTCTCCTTCATGATCAGTACGTAAAAATAAGTCACAGATTCTATTTTGGCAAATTGACTTTCTTTTTGTATTTGAATTCCTCATTGCAATTGCATTTTTGAAATACATTCCAAAGTGTTTTGATTCTAAACCTTGAAAATTGTTCAACAGAGGGAAATGCAATACATATCGGTGTACAGACCTTGAGCCATTTGTCCACACATTTGGTATGGAATTCGTGACTGCACGGTAGTACACGGAGGAGTTGGCGGTTCTCAAAATCACACATGCACACAACGCAGGAGGTTTGATCCATGCCCGAGTGGTGCGTCTCCTTGTTAAACCTGTACGCGGGCAGCTGGTCGATCTCCAGCTTGGTCAGACCCTTGGGTTTGGCGTCACCCAGTCTCTCCGCAAGATTCAGTAATGCCTCGTAATTTTCTACTTCTGTTGCGTCTTCTCGGAACTCCCGTCCAAATCTCGGCAGTGGAGGGTTACCCAACATGGCACTGAAATGATGACATAACTGAAGTCACGACTGTGAAGATTCTGATTCGTCTGTAGGCGGTTAACAATTTAAGATAAATTTTCAATTAATGGCGCAGACGACAACCAAAATCAGCTATCTATTTCAAATGTTACGATTGTGACGTAAAAATCATAATGATGTCTTGATCACCACTCAAGATGCATATTTAGTGGAAGTGCAGAACAAATGTGAATATCAAAATGTATAGAACTTACTATTCAGCCAGATAGGAATAGTTACTCATCCATAAATGGTTAGGAAATTTCTCAATTTTATTATATGAAATGATAAGCATATGACTTTTATTTTTTTATATTTATATTACACCAAACAAATTCCAGAAATTCCATTTCTTGTTGTTCAAAGATACAACACCACTGCTAAGCAAAATAAATATACAGATGATCAAAACAGGAAGTGTTGGATACTTACAGGAAGTGGAGCAGGAACCCTGGGTAGGGTGGTGGAGGAGGAGGTATGGAGCGTAGTCTACCGTTGCGGCCAGCCGTTCGGTGGCGTGCATAGTATCTGTGAAATGGTCCCTGTTACACGAAAGAATCACATTGCTGATCAAATGTAGCACTTAAAACACGAATTACACACAAAACTACTTGCTTTTTCATCACCATTCAGGAATTCGACGGGATAGAGACTAATAATCTATCTGTGGGAGATTTCTAAACACAGTTACAGATCTCATCTGTCCAATATTTACAATAGACGTTATCAAGTGAACAGATAAAATGCCTGGTGAATGATGAGCTAACTTAGAGAGAGGGTCGTAATGTTGAATTTATAGTGGTAGGGGGATAGATATCTCGAGAAGAGCCATGGATGACGGGCCAACTCCGTTAGGAGAGCTGGAGGCATGTGTCTGTAAGAGAGGGTACTCAGGGCCCGTATTCATGAAACTATTCTCATGCTCAAACTCAAATTCTGTACTCAAGCCCAATTTCTTGTTCCAGTGTTTAATTCATAAAATAATCACTATTTGTTCACATTTTTGACAGATTTAGGGAGAAACTTCAAGCCGTTTTCTATTTTAGATGTTAACAAATTGACTATCTGACCGTGTCACATGGCAAGTGACAAGAAAGTTGGATTGAGCACAAAATCCATGCTCAAGCATGAGAACAGTTTTATGAATTTGGGCCCAAGACACCTACTGAGTGGAGTACAGTAGCTTGATGGGTGTGTGGGCGGTGGGGAATGTCACAATTATCTTGTCGTACTTGTAAGTAGGGACTTACGTAAATGTCTTGAGGGGAGGGGTGGACCATGGGCTCCTGTAGGAGGACTGGGGGCGTGGCTGTGAAGGCCGTGGCCCCCGGGTGGTGCTGGTGTAGAGCTGCTTGGAGGGGATAGGCATGGCGGTGATCTGATATAAGCTGGACTTCCTCCTCGTGGCGCTGTAACACACACACAACATATCAAACCAGTCAACAAACTAAACAGGCAGTAAACCTATACAAATATACAACAAATTTAAAATATTAACAAAATTCAAATCACTTCTTTTTTTAATTTTTTTGCACGAAAAAGTCATTTGATATATTTTTTATTTTTTGATGAATTTAAAAATTCAGATTATAGGCGAAAATTCGACTTGGCATTTAAAACTTCTCATCAAACAAGTATTACAAATAAAACACTGAAACAATAACAATTTTATTTTATATCACAATTTTAGTTGATTATATTCAACAATAAAACATATTAATACCAATGGATTTTTTTTTATATGTTTGATTAAATTTTAATCAACACGATTAGCTGTTTACCATATAAAATAACATTTTATAGAATTTACACCTGATGTGCAACTATAGTTGTGCCCAGCAGTGGTGGCCACAGACATACAGCGCAACTATAGTTGTGACTATCACTCAAAGGGTTAAAGGTGGGTTTCTTTTTTTATTATAAAATCTTTTTTTACACATGAAAATCAGTCAAAAGTCAGAAGTTCTGACACTGAAAGTTGAATAAGTCAAGAACAAAAGAAGTAACAATTATGGAACATTTTTTGAAACATGAAAGTCAGTCTTTAACCCATTCACCCCTAGTCACATTTGAACCTTACCTAATCAAGAACCTTACCTAATCAAAGAATGGGCAAGTCCAGATAAAATATGTGTAGGGGTGAATGAGTTAATAAGGGTTCTAACATTGAAAGATAAATCAGTCCAGAACAAAAGAAAAATTACTATACAATAGTTTTTGAAATGTGAAGGTCAGACTTAAATAAGGTTTAAACACTAAAAGTTAAGTAAGTCAAAAAGAAGTCACCGTTATTGAATTAAATGATAAATGTTGAAAAGGAATTAACATCTTCTGCCAATTTACCTGATGGGTGGGGCCTGTAAACTGTGGCGGTCGGGAGGCCAGTTGATGCTGAGGTATATGGCTGGTGGAGTGAGGGGGCTGAAACATGGGTGGTATGGAGTTTGGATGGATGGGGATTTGCTGTATGTTACAGGATGGGATCTGCTGCACCCCACAGGACGCGGGGATCTGGACATTGCAGGCGGGGATAGACCACGTCGGTTGGCTGTTACACACGGGCAGGTGGCCAGCAGCCGTGCACATCGTGATCTGGTGCGGACCGGTGCATACTGGGATACCATAGGGTGTCATGGTCACCGGAGCCGACACAGGGACCTAGAGAAAGAAAATCAACACAATCCTATATCTCTAAATCTAAACAAAATAGCTTTTATACAGCCAAATTCCAGCACTTTCCACTTGCATTTTCCCATGGTTCATTAGCATTTGTTTTAATAATCCCAAATATTGCATTCCTTTTCAAAAAAATAAAAAATCTACCACAACTGGCGAGATAAACAAAACAGCTATGTACATCACTGTATACATAGTTTGAGCGTCTGTGTTGACAAAAGCCTGTACAGGCCTGGCCAGACATGGGGGTACTTACCCTCTCCATGTCCATCAGGACAGGCTGCTGCTGAACTGTCTGGTGGTGGTGAGGGGGAAGAGCCGCTGGGTGGATCTGGTGACCCATCATGTTTGGGGGCTGGAACGCACGCCGCTCCGGGGAACCCTCATTGTGACGTAAAATGTTTCTATCTCTCGTGCGCCGTCTCGTTCCCGGACTAAAATGTCAAAATGTACACTGAGGATCCCGATCAAATGTGACACAAGGTATGTTGATTGATGGACCATGAGGGAGGGATGCAATGTAAACCTCAGGGTCAAAACCACACAAATCTGATCGAACAAACAGTCACAATGATGAACCCTTCTCTAGCCGACTTTCCAGGCAATCGTGTATATATCTAAAAAGCTGATGCCTCAGTCGAAAAACAAAGTGAAAATTTGTTAGCATAACCTAACAGCAAGAAACTGTGCATGATTTGAAACCTTGCATAAAGCAGAACTTAAACTATGGCCTACATGTATGTGTATGTACTTCCTAAAACAAGACCATGCAATCTGGATTTTGTCTAAACCGGCCAGAGAATTTGGCTCTGAGAATGACAATGTATATACTATACAAGTAGTTCCTCTACAATCCAGAACTCTCGGCATTTGCCTAAATAAGGGGTCCAAGGAGTAACCAATTTCTAGAGCATATTATATTTCTATGCAAATCCAAGCTGTGCTAATAACGCAGGTTCCTATTGTGTTCATGCCAGACCATCCTCTGTATTCACAACATTTAAGCTTGGCTAGTATTAACATTGTGTGCGTGTCGTTAAATCATTACCAAGCTTCATACCCTGCCAGATCAATATGGAATAGTCCGGACCAATCAAAAGTGCTAAAAGGGAGGGGACACAGCTACTGAAACATCTTCAGCATTCTAATGGCACAGAATGTAAAAAAAGAAAAAAAATGATCAGAATCCTTAACACGGTGATTAAAAATTCCGTCAGAAATGGCGTGATAAAGGACAAAGTGCCACTTAATGATCCGGGAACACTTGCTCTAATTACAGCTATTTCAGTAGCTCACAAAAACATCCCAAACGAAAGGTTAGCGTCTCATACCAGTGCCCAATAAAACAGGCAAAGTAATGAGCATGTTGCACGGTCAATTTAAATTGCCATAAAACAAAATCATGAAATTTTAATATGCAAAACACCTAGTCATCATGCGATACCCTTAAATTTGATCTTCCTTGTGATTTATACAAACATTTTCAATACGTGTATGGTATTGCTGGTTAATAATGAAATTTTGTTTGCTTCTTTTGTTGTTCACGATATTCACTTGAATTCTTTTTTTAGCTTCAGTATCTGTGATGTAGAATGTTTTCAGTAAAACTCAAGAAATTTACCCAACTGTGAACAAAAATACCGTTTATCATGACGGAGTACAGGGTGACTATTTACTGACTAATGACTACAATCGTCATCGTTGTTAATTACTATTAATAACTTGTCAGTTACAGTAACGTCTTTATTCAATAATTGAGGTTCCATGGTTTATCTATGTAGATTTGTAAGACAGGTTATAATATTTGTGATACCACTGTCAATTATTCACACTAATTATACAGTGTTTCAGAAAACCAAAGTCAACCTGGCAAGACTGAGAAATTACTCGACGGATGTATAAAAAGCCTACCATATCTGTTTTTAGTTGACAGGTTTACTTGAAGAACACCTATAGAAACCATCTACCTTGGTCTATATACAAGTTGCTTACTTAAAGCAAGTTTTTTTTACAATTTCATGGAGGTGAACTTTCAAAAAGACAAAAGAAAATCCATAATGACTGCCTAACGGGAAGTATTTACGAGGTGACAAAATTTACTCAAATAATGCCTACAGAAACGATGTACTCGGGTCTATTTATGATTTCATTTGATTTACCCTAAGGGATAGGTTGGCTGGGGCTGTCGTCGCTGCACAATCATGGTCCTGGCAGTGTGACGTATTACCACACAGAACCGACGTAACAGACGCTGGGGCGACAGCTGCTGGTTCAACACGAATGACTGGATCCTCAGAAGAGCCGCCTCCCTGAAAGTTATCTCCCTTGTTCCTTCCACTTCCTGCAGGATTTGCGCAATGTGGTGGTAGCGCCGTGCCTGGGACATGGCCGCTCCTGTGATGAAGCCTCGAAGCATTGTGTGTGTCACTGTGTACGACGACTCATTGACCATGCGGGCAATGGTGTCCAGCAGGGTCAAGAGGTCACGGTATTCCTCTCTTTGGGTCAGCTCTACAAAGGCCCAGTGATGGCACTCTTCGTAAAATCGTGCTTGAAGCTGGCGGAAAAGGACACACAAGGACTGTGCCACTCTCCGAGGTATCATAGGTCGTTCATCTCTGGTCATCCTTGTACCAGCAAGATCATCCCCAATCATCGGTTCCCTAGCAACATCATCTGTGGTCATTCTTTCCCTAGCAATATTATCTGTGGTCATCCTTTCCCTAGAATCATCATCACTGACTTCCCCCACATTGTCACTTCTGGTCATTCTTGCCCCAGTAATGTCTTCCTCGACATCGGACCTGTCTGACCGATGGATGCCCTCACGGGAGATGATGCTGCCCGCTAACCAGCTAACCCATCTAAAGGCCTGGTTCCACAAGGATGACACACTTAGTGTTGAGCTATCACTGCTCTCTGAATCACCAGCAGGGATGGAATCTCGTGAACTATGATGTCCAGGTACTGTAGAAGGTTCTTCTATTGCTGTCGGACCAGCATCCACAGAACCTTGATATCTTTCTCTGTATAAATTCTCATCTATTCTAGTAACATCTGGTGAACCCAAAATACAAGGATAAGCCTCTAAACTTTCACCTCCATAGAAGACAGGTGTTGTCTCCCTTTGGTATTGAACATGGCCTCCATGTGTGTGACCATTATACTGTACATCCGTTTCAGTCCCTATGCCAGGGTTAACAGTATTTTGGTTTGGTGGTAGATCTGGAGGGGCTGTGTCATGATTTTGTGGTAGAGCTGGAGGGGCTGTGCCATGATTTTGTGGTAGAGCTGGAGGTGCTATTCCATGATTTTGTGGTAGGACTGAGGGGGCCATGCTTACATTTGGTGGCTGGGCTGATGGGGCCATGCCAATATTTACTGGTAAAACTGATGGGACCATGCCAATATTTACTGGTAAAACTGATGGGGCCATGCCAATATTTACTGGTAAAACTGATGGGGCCATGCCATGGTATGTATGAGCTATGCTTTGGTCTTGTAACGAGACTGAAGGTGCAACAACATGGTTTGGTATCCAGGTCCTACAAGTTACCCCAGTGTTTGCTAACTGTCCAAAGCAGGCAGTATCTTGGTTCGGAAGTGGAGACCTGTATACACCAGTTTGGTTGTCAAAGGTCCTGTCTACTCCCGAATATGTGGACCCTACACTATTATATAAGGAAGGATGTGGACTTTCTCCTTGCGTTTGTACGGAGGGATATTCTCCTTGATGTTCTCTTCCTAGTAGTAATACTGTAGTCTGCTGCTGCTGATAAACAGGAGAAGAACTGTGACCATGAATAGCTGTTTGATGGACAGAATTGTCCATCCAAATCTGATGTCTCTGTTCTGATGGCAACATTAATGAGTGACCAATCGTAGCTCTCTGTTGGTTAGTCATGTAACCATCGCTGTGGCCTACATTAGAGGGCACAGTCTGTATTTGAGTATTTTCACTATGACTGTAGGTTTGCCTCTGACTGCTTGGTGCTGCAGGATCTAAATATCTTCCTTGAACAAACTGGCTTGGTTGCTGATGCATCGGTCGATGTTGAATATTTCCAGTGTAGTAGGGATGGAAGCGCCCTTCACTGTGAAGTTGGGACAACGATGGCTCGTGCAGTTGTTCAGGATATTCCACCATGGCAGGAGAGTGTTGCAGTGAGGCTGTAGGACAATGCTGCTGATGCTGAGAATTCAATGCTTGAGAGACATGTCTGGAACTGTTCCGAGGTATTTGTTGGTTTCCATGCTCTGGCTGTCGGTGAGGAACTCCATGCTGAGGTATGTAGAGAAACTCTCCGGGACAAACCTCCAAAGCACATCCGTCAATACCCGCTTCACGAAACATCACAACCTGTCGTCCTACTGGCACAAAGTTACTGGGCATCATTTCCATTGTCAGTGGACTACCAGACATCACCGGCATGACCATGGGTACAGGACCAACACCTCGCACAACAGAAGCCCCAACAGTCCAATCACTTGCCATTTCATAGCACAATCCACTGAGTTCTGTAAACTTCTCTCAAATGTGTGAAGGAGAAATAATATGCTAAAATGCATGCTTGTTTTGTTGCTAAGCAATCTACACAAGGCACATTCATAAGCAACTATTACATTGTGACATCATCACAAGTAATGATGACATCATCAACAATAAACTAAAGAGGTCAACTGAGTTCATCCCATTGTGACATCACAAAGCTTATTTTCCCGTACTTTCTTTGGACTACCATCAGAACAGCCACTGATTGAGCAGTCCATGATTGAAATATGCTCAAAATCTGTCTTATGTCACCATATAGTTGATATAAACATAATAGTTTAATACATTATGTGATTAGCTTGTATGTTGATGGTGGAAATTTCATACCAAAAACAATGATATTGTTTTTAGTAGACATTTCAAATTGTTTGCTTTTTCTTTCTCTCCTTAAGGGACCTTTTAACTATATTATTTCAGCACATAATTTTTAGAACCAGAAAAGTTGTGATGACATTGTATACTGAATAACTTTTTCATAAAGCTTTGCTAAACACAGTTTAAAGACATAATGTCATATGCAAATACTATTACTGCAAAGTTCAATCAAATTTACAAAAAAATCCTCTTTATACGAGTTCTGTATTTTGTACATTATGAATTTACAAATTCTCAATAGAAAACAGTAATATTGTATTCATGAAAATGACAAGAGCTGTTGATATTATTCATGCTTACAGAACAAAAAATTATTGCATTTCTGAGTCACCTTTGTTCCTATTTTTAATTTTCTCCTTTGTTCCTATTTCTAATTTTCTGAGTTTTTGTTTTTCTAACAAATCTGTTCTCTACCAAGTCTATTAATCTACTCAAACCACTGAAACAGGTGGACATACCTACAGGTAATACTCTTAGAATAAGGTAAAACAAATTATTTGACAATTTAAAAATTCCGGAAAATACGTAAATATCATCTCTTCAACCTTATCTTATCAAATTATGACATTTAATATATACAAATTTCTGAATGGTTTATGACATTTTGACCAACACTAAAAATACTGCAACTACCTCAAAACTATAAAGGATGGCTGTTGTGTAACGTAGGAAATGGAGAGCAGTTGACGGTATTCACGATTCACCAGCACGTGCAACACCAGCAGTCATTAGCACTCGAAACGGAGAAGTCCTTTATACGCCAGAGCTGTTAATTAGCTCTTCCTGACTAAATTAGTTTCAGTATTAACTCATTCACCCACTGGAAATTTCAAAATGAACTATTCCAACCTTTGAATTGGAAGAGTTCAAATGTGTCTTCAGGGGTGGATGAGTTAAACAGCCATTCTACCTTCAACATTTGTGTAAGCCAGAGATGAATCAAGCTCCAGGAAAAACGAAATGACAACACCAATGTTTACCCACTGGAAAACCTGTGAGCTGGTGTTTAGGTCTCACGACAGTTGTCAGAGACAGACACAGATAGAAACTAATAGGTTGTTCACAATGACGGTGAACAAGGGCTTGATTGTTCAACTTAGATTTGTGTGCTTGGATCCATAGGGTCGTACACTAACATTAAAGCTTGGCCACAAAGCATGAAAACAAGAAACATCTGAACCAATGATAAGGTCATCAGTGTCACAAGTTGTCATAGAGACAGAAACATAATTTTTGTGAACCAGAAATTTTTGTTTTGTTTATATTGTATGTTTACGTTCTTTCACAGTCAGATATTAATCATGTGAACTCGAGACATTTTCACTAGTTTAATAAACTGTTGACATGGACAGAAATTGATCTTGTGAACCTGAGATTGAGGCACCAGTGTTACAGGTTGTTCGTAGGGACAGATAATAATTTTGTGAACCAGATCAGGTGTTACACATTTTTCACTCAGAGATTGGCCTTGTGAACCAGTGACCAATTCAGCACTGTTACACATTCTCTACACAGAGATTAGATCATCAGTATTAGACTCTGTTTACAGGAAAGAAATGAAACCGATACAAGAATCCTATCTTATATTATGTAACAACAATATTGTCATATAATCTACAACAGAGAAACAACACTACTGTTAAATCTTCTACAACAGAGAAACAACACTACTGTTAAATCATCTACAACTGAGAAACAACACTACTGTTAAATCTTCTACAACAGAGAAACAACGCTACTGTTAAATCATCTACAACAGAGAAGCAACGCTACTGTTAAATCTTCTACAACTGAGAAACAACACTACTGTGAAATCATCTACAACAGAGAAACAACAATATTGTTAAATCATCTACAACTAAGAAACAATGCTACTGATAAATCATCTACAACAGAGAAACAACACTACTGTTAAATCCTCTACAACAGAGAAACAACACTACTGTTAAATCTTCTACAACTGAGAAACAACACTACTGTGAAATCATCTACAACAGAGAAACAACAATATTGTTAAATCATCTACAACTAAGAAACAACGCTACTGTTAAATCATCTACAACAGAGAAACAAAACTACTGTTAAATCTTCTACAACAGAGAAACAACGCTACTGTTAAATCTTCTACAACTGAGAACAACGCTACTGTTAAATCATCTACAACTGAGAAACAACACTACTGTTAAATCATCTACAACAGAGAAACAACAATATTGTTAAATCATCTACAACTAAGAAACAATGCTACTGTTAAATCATCTACAACAGAGAAACAACACTACTGTTAAATCAATTACAACAGAGAAACAACGCTACTGTTAAATCTTCTACAACAGAGAAACACCACTACTGTTAAATCATCTACAACAGAGAAACAACGCTACTGTTAAATCTTCTACAACTGAGAACAACGCTACTGTTAAATCATCTACAACTGAGAAACAACACTACTGTTAAACCATCTACAACAGAGAAACAACACTACTGTTAAATCCTCTACAACAGAGAAACAACACTACTGTTAAATCTTCTACAACTGAGAAACAACACTACTGTTAAACCATCTACAACAGAGAAACAACACTACTGTTAAACCTTCTACAACAGAGAAACAACACTACTGTCAAATCTTCTACAACAGAGAAACAACACTACTGTCAAATCTTCTACAACAGAGAAACAACACTACTGGTAAATCATCTACAACAGAGAAACAACAATATTGTTAAATCATCTACAACAGAGAAACAACTCTACTGTTAAATCTTCTACAACAGAGAAACCACACTACTGTTAAATCTTCTACAACAGAGAAAAAACAATATTGTTAAATCATCTACAACAGAGAAACAACAATATTGTTAAATCATCTACAACTAAGAAACAATGCTACTGTTAAATCATCTACAACAGAGAAACAACTCTACTGTTAAATCTTCTACAACAGAGAAAAAACAATATTGTTAAATCATCTACAACAGAGAAACAACTCTACTGTTAAATCTTCTACAACAGAGAAAAAACAATATTGTTAAATCATCTACAACAGAGAAACAACTCTACTGTTAAATCTTCTACAACAGAGAAACACCACTACTGTTAAATCATCTACAACAGAGAAACAACAATATTGTTAAATCATCTACAACTAAGAAACAATGCTACTGTTAAATCATCTACAACAGAGAAACAACGCTACTGTCAAATCTTCTACAACAGAGAAACAACACTACCGTTAAATCATCTACAACAGAGAAACAACGCTACTGTCAAATCTTCTACAACAGAGAAACAACACTACCGTTAAATCATCTACAACAGAGAAACAACGCTACTGTCAAATCTTCTACAACAGAGAAACAACACTACTGTTAAACCATCTACAATAGAGAAACAACACTACTGTTAAATCTTCTACAACAGAGAAACAACACTACTGTTAAACCATCTACAACAGAGAAACAACAATACTGTTAAATCATCTACAACAGAGAAACAACGCTACTGTTAAATCATCTACAACAGAGAAACAACAGCTCCACCTTTGAGCAGTACAAGCACACTGCCTCACAACATCTCTGTATAATTCATGCCTTACCAATGAAGAAGACTGTTTAACCCTTCTGTACCGGATACATATGATTCTGTAATGCTGTAATGCTGTAATGCTGTCTCTGTATGCTCAACTTCTGAACCTTTTGTTTACCAACAAACGTTTGTGCATGCATCCCACAGTGTATATAGAAATGACTGTGAGTGTGTGTGTATGTGTGTGCGACGTAGCGACACGCAACAGTGATAATAGATACTGACCTTCTGCGAGCCCTCGGTGTGTTGCTGCGATCTAAGGACGTCCTACGAAGACTTGCAGCTCTGCGCCTCACTCCGCCAATCCTGGCGCTCTCTGTCAGCGCTTCCCGGTTCTGTGAAGGGGGTGGACTCGGAGAGTTGGTCAAATCAATGTAACTTCCCGAGGTTTTCCGTCGCTTTCGACTTGGGCTCTCACTCTGAAAGTTGTACAAGCAAGCCATTATATGCTTCCGTTTTCAATCAGTCAGTAGTATTGATTGTATCCCTAGCCACAGCTGAACCAGCACGCTAAAGTTATAAACCCAACGCTCTGTATTCCTTCCTACAATCATCTCTCTATCTCTCTACCAATCAATGGTCTTTGTTCCTGACACAATGCTATTTATTGCTCATTGTTTTTTTGTATGCCTCCCTCTCCCTATCTGTCTATCATTAAGATCTGTTTCTTGTGTCGAGTGACACATGCTAAAAATATTACAGTTCACAGCTAGCTTTTCTATCTTGTTTGCCCTAAGGCTTTGTTCTATATTAAACATAAACACTGTATTTTTCTGTTTTACTATCTTGTTTGTCCAAATGCTTTGTTCAGTAAATAACCTCTCTCTCTACCAGGTTCAGTCTATCTTGTTTATCTGAAGGCTTGGCTCTGTAGATAACACTGCCCCCTGCTACAATCAGTCTATCTTGTTTGTCCGAATGCTTTGTCCTATAAAAGCACTTCGAGTTCTGATACTAAACCACAGGTATGCTGATCATGTGCTCTACCTGTATACATGTACCAACATAGTTCAAAACTCAAACATATGACTGTACTAGGGTCTCCACTGCTTCAAACGGGAGCCGACACCAGTCCTAATCACACACAATAATGCAGGCAAGCAAATAATTTTAAAAACCAAAAGTACCGTTTTTCCATGTAAACCCCTCAATTCTATCTGTAATTCTTTCTACAATGCTTCCACAAGGTCTCAGGCTAAGCTTTAAACAGGATAACAGAAATTGGACGGCTTTTTCTTTGTTTTTGTTGTTTGAGGTACTTTAAATTCCAGTTTCATGATTCACACGAGCCACTGTGTAGGTAATGTGTAGGGTATAAGGTAGACGGCCGCGTTCTCTCCTTTGTAGTCCAACTCGCCATCAGATTTGGACATAGGGGACAAAACCACATGTGATTAAACACTGTGGTATATTGATCTGGACTTTGAAGGGCTATACAGGGTTAATCACGTTTCAACCCTGCATAGTCATGCAAACACAATATGTACTTCAACAAAATTATATCTTAGTACAGAAAGGAGACTTTTCATATTTATTTTTTTAATTTTCATAAAAGAAATTTGATTCTTTTATGCAAATGTGTTTCAGAAGACTGTTTTAAAAGACTCCAAAATCTGTAAAAGTTGAAGAAAATTCATATCTCCAGTATGTGCTCCTATAGGTAAATATGCAAGTACACGAAAAGATACTGGTTTTGTAAACAAGTTTTGTGTCTTTAACATATTGTAAACAAAATCTAAACTGTTTTAAAATCTATTTGCCTTTGGGTGTTTATCGGTGAGTGCGATACAGGTATGCACACATAGACATGTTGGCTATGCATCAACATTTGCATTGGCTAAGAGGCATGAAATAATCTATTCATAGGTAGAATATTATTTTTAAATGTCAAAATTTTAATTCATTTTTTTTTTAAATTGGAAACCATGCAAATAGATGACAATTGTATACGTTTCTACGTGCCCGGATAGCTATATATAGCCGGGCCTTACACAAACTTTGAATTTACATTTGTCATATACAATTTCATAGACACCTTATTCATGTCAGTTATTTTTACTGGAATATATTTCATATACATGTATGTATATAGCTGGTATACATACAATAAGCCTCGTCCTTTTATGTATGATAATGACAACATAGCGCCCGACTTTTCATATCTATGGCCCGTTTGTCGCAGGGGCTGGGTTTGTACGGAGGGGGGGGGGGGGGGGGNGGGGCTGGGTTTGTGGAGGAAGATTTTGTTTTCTGATTGGAAGTTCCCATAGCATTTTCTCTTTGAATGTTTTGCCCCGCGACCTCATTCTTCAAACACATGTGTGTACAGTGTACACAGGCGGTTCTCTCCCGTTTTATTCTCCTGGTTCATGACTGCAATTTAAATTTAAATTCATTTTAAGCTGCATTGTGTGGCCATTGTGCCCAGGGAGGGGATCGGGAAGGCACACTGCGTTGCCTATCTTTTGTGGAGGCATGTGAACCCTGGGGCATGGCATTGTTGGTGTTGAGATGACTGTGGTCAATGCCCACTCCTACAATTGACCTATGTCCAGCTACACGGGCACCACAGGTTGGCCTTGCAGTGGTCAATGCTATAAAGCCCTCGAGCCATGCTCTGGTCAGAAACCCTTTGGATATGCTAATTTCTAACCCCTATACTATAATTCCCAAGTAGGCATGACCCAGATCTGGAGTAGCTGGTGTACTGTTGGCATTCAAGGATGACAAGGCTGATATCCTGGGGAGGGGTGTTTATTTCCCTATCCTTGGAGTCATTAGTATGAGTCAAGGGAGCCTATCTGCCAGATCTTTGCCAGGGCTCACGGTCCCCTCTCTGCCTAACAACCCACCGAACCTAGTCTTTATCAGTCAGGCTTCTCTGCATAAAGGAAATGTCACACAATCCATCTCAGAGGGCCCACAACAAAACAGTTCCCTGGAGTACAGTCATCAGTTACCTAGCATAGGACAGCAGGAAGGACAGAATGGGAAAAGGACAAATAAAATCAACAGCAGATCTGCAGATATTTGTATTATGGCAGGGTGTCAAAAAAGTTCTGAGTAATCATAATACTGGAAGATCTATAGATAATATCTACCTGTTGGGCAAGGATAATGAATTAGGAAGTACAGAGTGAGAAAAGGACAAATACAGACAGTTTGGATAATCCAAAAGATAATATCTACCTATTGGGCAAGGATTAGGAAGTAAAGAGTGAGAAAAGGACAAATGCAGATTTACATTATAGCAATAGATAATATCTACCTGTCAGGCAAGAACTAGGAAGTTAAGACCGAGAAAAGGATAAATACAGTTATAATAAGATTTATGATAAAATCTAGTTTTCAGGCAAGGATTAAGAAGCACAGCTCGAGAAAAGGATGAATACAATTTTAGATTAGAGCTATAATAAAAATCTAGATATTTCAGGCATTAAAAAAGGAAAGGACAGACTGAAAAAGGGACAAATACAATCTACACCATACATCTATACCTATAATCAAATCAGCATCCAGCTGAAAATATTATCACTTATAAATCATGAAAATTCAAGTTGGCTTCGAGAGTATCTTTAAGATTAGGAGATAGTCACAGAGGCACAAAAAGACCCATAAAAACATACAAGATGTCGGATGATACTTCACTGACATTCTATTCAACTTTGCGATAAATATTTCATTCAGTATCTTACTAAAAAAATCACAACGGTATACTGTAGACAGCTAATAATAGCCCTTGATGAGGCCTGGCCACTTTCTTTATCATAAGGAAATATGTCATCCTCGCTTCAGTAACCAGGGTGAATTGAAGCATTCAAAACCCAATATATTTAAATGAGCCACAATCTACCTGGTATTTCCGGTTCATTCCAATGGTATAGGCTCATGAAACCCTAGGTTTGTTGACAGTAGTACTGCTGCCAGCCAGCGTTTTCTATACTCTAAGCGTACAAAGGACTTCAAAAACCTAACACCGTAAATTATTATTAGAATCCGATCACACAGGTCTTACATATAGATACGCTGTCCTTTATTCATGATGGAAAATTATTTTCATTTCATGCAAAAGATTAAGATGACTAGTCGTTGATATGTGGTGAATAGTTATAATAACGACAATAACACAAAAAAACACTTTAATACCGGTATATTACAAGGGATATTAACTGTCCTTGTTAGCTTTCAGTAGAATATACTCATTATTAATCCTGTTTTAATTATTAAAGTCGCACGCACACACACACACACACATTTGACAGCCCACATAGCCCCGAGAGATACAGTACAAAGGAAGCCTTTTCGTGAGAAAATTATCATGTACACGTCGCTAGGCCCGAGGCTCAGTATGAAATATACCTCAACGAATACTGACAAGGCCTGGTGACCTAGACAAGTTTTCATTGCTTGGGTAGAAATACATCAAATAAATAAATGTGTGTGCGGCAGGAAAAAATATACGGTCTGGGTTCTTTATTTGAAAGTCAATTTTCTATCCTCTTCCCTATCTTGAAACCTACATAGTTTTGGTCAACAAATCGGGCAGCTGGCTGTGCTGAGTTAATGTGGCAGCCTGGTAGAGTTGGCCGCTATAGTGAACAGACTCCTATCAGCTAGGCCTGCGTTAGCAGTCTCAGTATTGATCATTCCCACATACAATATTCTCTCTCTCCCTCTCTCTCTCCTTCACACAAGCCTTGCTGGCCTCCAGCACTCCAACGTTTACAGGGGCCACCAAAGGGGTAATCATCAACACTCGCACAATTATAAAACTAACCAATCCATAAAACTGCCCACATTATATGAAGAATTAATTTTACTTAAAATAACAGTTTTACAAAAAATGTATCAAAACGGCAGGTGTATTTGCATTCATGATAAGGTAAACTAACCTATTTGCGTTTCCCTTTTGCGGGGCCCTATTGGATACATGGTAACAGCTATTTATCTGTGTAAAGCACAGAAGGGAGGATTCCAATTAGGGCCAAGTTTCAAAGCCTTTCTGGAAGAATAACTGTGGCTTTTACAAATGTGAAACTGTACAAGGTTCTTTGAAAGGCTCTGTGAACTTTTTCAATTTTTATCTCCCTTTGTGTTTCTCGCCAAGGTTCCGACAGTGAAGGCTCACAACCAGGTTACAACCAGCACAATCAATGACCTATAAACATTTATTGATTTCCAAAGTAGAAAGCTACCAGCAAAACAGAAAATAGCAATATTCTCCCCTTAATTTCTCATGTCAAAATTAGAATTTGTTTCCACAACTTCCCACAGAAGACAAAGTTGAGGTTTCCTCACTCAGCCTCAAATTTAAATGCAGCAGTGCAGTTAGAAAACACATCTCGGACAAAAATCCTCAAAGCTTTCAGCAAACATCAGTTTAGCATACATCATTCAATACTGCATCATAATAACAGCTGCCAAGCTTATTTATCAGCGGAGAACAAAATATTTTCGTTTTATTCTCGCATATATAGATCTATAAACAGACTTCGAAGGAAACTTGCCACAAATTTAAATTAACAGTCATCAGGAAATGAGAAATTTGTAGTCACTGAAAATAATTTTCGCTTGTTACATACATTATGACCAATTTTATATACATATGAATACATTGTTACCTATATAGATAGCAGATTGAAATAGGCTAGTTAATCTAAATTATTCATAAGTTACTCTTTTAACAAAGCAATAACTTGGCATTTATAGCAAAATATTTAAAAACGACATTAAGAACATCTAAATATATTGTTATTACAAATTTAATTGTCAAATGTCTAACGTTTTTTAATACGTATACAGTCTTAAATCCAGGTATTTTCTGAACAGACCAAATAGTTAATGTCTTCAATAAGATTCATCAGTTTAGAGATATGTACGTATCAAAGATTTAACACAAATAATATGGTATGTATGAAACGTGTCACAATGTTTAGCCTGACAAAGGGACGAGTTGGTCTTGAAGCATTTTGTGACACATTTGATAACATTGTTTGTATATAAAGTAAAATTTGATACACAAACACTGAACGGTTCAGTACCAAGAATCACTTAAGAGTAAGAGAAAGCACCATCACTGACCCCCAATCGAGACATGGTGCTCTTATCTCTTCAGCTTGAAGGGACAGTCGTCTTAGGATGTAATTAAGTTTTCCATGAAACTTCATGTATCACCATCTGACAGTGTGGTATATATAAGCACCATGACTGAGCCGATGCTTATTCCTGTACAGAGCGGCGACTACATTATCGTCTCTCAGCCATCGTTTATCCAGAACCATCACCAGAATCCCAACAGACCTTGCGTGTGACATCTTCAATAAATGAATAATCGCGTTTTGTCTTACGGGTTTTTGATCTGGTTATGTAAAGGATGTCTAAATTGCTCCTTATAGAATAAGTCAATATACATTTTCTATCCACTTAGCAATTTGTTTTCAACAGAAAATTCAAAACAATGTCATACATATATAATATGTATGCAAAAAAGCAGGGTATCACAAGAATTTATAATTCAGCCATCTTGAATTTTTTAGCTTTAAATGTCATTGTTTTTTCCCCATATTCTATCAATGTCAGTGGCTAAATTGCTTTAGATCCTTTTTTCCAGCAAGGGAGATAACTCTGTAGTCTGGCAGTGTTTGTGATGAGCATGAGAGAAGGGAAATCAATAGGTAGAGGGAGCCTCGTGTGGTGGAAGCTAAGCTACATTATTGATGCCCAACACAGGCTCTGTCGACTAGCAACACTGCAGTATTTACTTTTTCTATCTTGAATTTCAATGGATCGGAGCTAAGTCCTGGGACAATACTGGCCTTTGAGCCCCCATCACATGACGCAATGTCATCCAATCCCGGACAGAACTCCGAGTCAAAGCACAATGGACAATAAATTACTTTAAGCTTCTGACAAAAAAACAATGGAACCCAACGAGTTCAATCACAAAACGTCCATGAGGGGATCCTCCCAACGTCTGCATATTGATTCTGGAGATTTAACGAATTTCCAAATATCTCCACTCTATATGAAACTTCAAAATTCATCCTCTCTCAAGTAGATTTTAATTTTGTGCTAACAAGCTAACAACTGAATACCCCACCCCATACATTTAGCTACACATACGTCTTTTTTGTGTTGAGATATTTTAGGTCTGGTTCTTGTTTGTATTGCCTGATTTGCTGTGTCAAAACTGACTGAACATAGAAATTATAGACTGGTCGAATATTCAATAGGGTACAAAAGTCTGCTGCCAAACTCACAAAGACCCTGTAATGCCCTGCCAAATTCTTTCCTGAATTATTCCCAAACATGGTGATTCATAAATGTAAACATTGTTTATAACCAAAATAACAGCTTTACTTATATAATTACCATATAAACAGTTTATTATAAAATGAAATAACAATGAAAGACACACTGTCCACAACTACATGGAGCATGGATGTAAGCTTGAAGAAGATGATGCTGTCGGTGGTGGTGGTTCAGGGGGACCTAAGACAAAAAAACTTTGACAAGAATTCCCCCCCACCCCCAATCCTCTACGTTTTACATAATGCAATATTCATGAAACAATTTAGCTTCAAGTGTTCACTTTACTGACAGGATGAGATATTGTCATTTTTTTTTTAAATTGACGGTATTTGATGCACGGTGCCACAACCAGATTATGGTGCCAAGAGGACTACGCCAGTGTGTGTGCCGCTTCCTACAGCAAAGGCCCGAACAGCATGACATTAATCAGACATTTCCTTTGTGAAACCACCGACACATATGTTTAATTCCATGTACTTGAAAGACGACAAAACTGTATCATGGGAGGAAAGTGTATAATGAAATGTACTTGGGACCACTCTTGTGAACGTGAAACTTATCCTGACATGTACCTATACGCAGAAGTTCAATATGTTTCAAAATGAAAATATAAAAAAGACAAAGACATTGACTTGCCTTCATGTTTTGGCTGGAGAAATAATGAATCTTTCATCAACATTTTATTTTTTTTAAAGATTCTGTCTTATTGTATGGTCCAACCTATTATTTGTTTGGCCTGTCCTTGCCCTACTGTAACAACCTATTATTTGTTTGGTCTGTCCTTGCCCTACTGTAACAACCTATTATTTGTTTGGCCTGTCCTTGCCCTACTGTAACAACCTATTATTTGTTTGACCTGTCCTTGCATAATTGTAGCAACCTCAAGTTTTTTATTAGTCCCCCTTTGCCTGACTGTCACAATTCTAAGTTTTCTTTTGCTAGTCCTTGCCTTATTGTAACAACTTTGTGAATTTGTTTGGCCTGTTCTTGCCCTACTATAACAACCTAGGGTGTGTTTGGCTTGTCCTTGCCCTACTGTAACAACCTAGGGTGTGTTTGGCCTGTTCTTGCCCTACTTGTAACAACCTAGAGTGTGTTTGGCCTGTTCTTGCCCTACTGTAACAACCTAGGGTGTGTTTGGCTTGTCCTTGCCCTACTATAACAACCTAGAGTTTGTTTGGCCTGTGCTTGCCCTACTGTAACAACCTAGAGTTTGTTTGGCCTGTTCTTGCCCTACTGTAACAACCTAGAGTGTTTTGCTTGTCCTTGCCCTACTGTACCAACCTAAAATGTGTTTGGTTTGTACTTGCCTTATTATACTAAACTAGATTTGTTTAGTTCGTTCTTGCCTGGTTGTACCAACCTATTGTTAGTTTAGCTTGCCCTGAAGCTAAAATTAATGGGCATTTGAGTCTGTCATACCCTGGATATATCAATATTATCAGAATTTCATTTCATAAAAATGTGTGCTCAGAAAAAAAATCACATTAAAAAATCAACAGGTTTTTCTTTATGCTGGTAGCCCTACATTATTGATCTAACTAAGGGGTACCAAAGGGGTATGTATATGTATGTAAAATATTTATTTCTAATACTACGCTGACAATTATGAAATTGAAAACTTAGATCATAATTTTTTTTTCACAATCTTTTTTACCAAAGTACAATCAAATGTACTATAGTTCTAAGGCAAACTCAAAGCGAATTATTTTTTTCATTTTCTGAAAATGCTTAATATTTCCAGTAACTTCAGGTTCCGAGTATTTGCTATTTCATAGTTTGACCAGCATTTTTTGTGTATTTCAAGTCAGAATTACATTTTCATTGTTTTTGGAAAATGTCTAAAAGCTGTGCAAACAATGACTTCTATTTGCACATTTGTAAATCTTTTTTATTTTATAACTACCTGTCTAACAGAAACCCTATATAAACTGGACAACTGTAGGAACCATGTTTTTATTTTTTTTATATGCAGCTTTGAATTACACAATACATCAAAATTATGAAGAAATTCCAAAATAACGTCGCATTACACAAAAAGAGGCCATTTATGATTTTGATCCTCTATTTTACTAAATCATAAAGCTAACCATAAATTTCAAGCCATAGCATGATGTCATAACCAAAACATATTTATACCACAAAGGAAACTTTTCTGTGATGGCCAGGAGAGGGCCCAAATTGGTGTTCCTGCTTTTTGGAATTCTGAGGGGTATGGCAAAACATTGAAGGAAGTGCATAAAGGAATTATCATGACCGGGAGCAGAGAACTTGGAACCATGATGACAGTGATCAATTAAGGTGCTAAGATATGAAGAGTGTTATATTAAAGGTTTAATTCTCAACAAAAATAGTGTTTCCTATCATGCTTGATTTAGACTAGTTGTTCAGGGCAAGTTAATTCTAGATGAAATAATTTTCTTAAGAACGGGTCTTTTGGCTAATCAGTCTTTCAAAAATAAGGTCGTGGTCTGAAATTAGCATAAACATTGATAAATACATTGATTCAATTTGGATTCTACCAATAAATGAATCCGCTGTACACTACAGAGAAACAGAACCCAAGGAACGCTGCGTGTGTAGAAAGACTAACTATGCCGTTCTCTTCTATAGAAACAACCTTAACTGGTTATCATTGTAAGGCATCCCACCAAATTGATCTCCCTTAGCCCACTACGCAAAAATCTATTTCACACTGCGTTTGCGAGTAGGCACCACGCTAACCGACGTGCCTGCGTACAAAACTAACCAAGGCTGATCCAATATGACTTTCACTGCAAATAAACACGAGATCAATCCGACGCTGCATGCAAACCAACACAATATCAATCTCGATCAAATACAAAACGCTCCGAGTTTGCATGTATTCAAAAAAGAGAAACGAACACAAATTCAAAGTGACTTTGCCTGCGAACAAATGTAAAATCAATCAGACCCTGCATCATTCTGTATCCGAAACACAAAATCAATCTGATCAAGCCTTAGTAGGACATGCAAAAAACCCATTCTGGGCACGATCAGCAGTCATACATCAGTACAGAACAACACAAAATCAATGTGGCTTTGCCTGTGTTTAGCATGCACCAACTCTCGTTTGACTTTGCCTCACTCTGTACATGTGGACCAGTGATGCATGCGCATGTTGGGAAGGTGAGTACTAACCTTTCTGCCCGAGTCCTCCGAGATCATTTCCACAGCGGCTGCGCATAGCTGGGCGGCGTTCTGCATTGGCTGTTGATGAAGCACAGGCTGATGGTGGTGGTGGTAGATGTGGCTGTAATTGTTCTGCAGATCTGGTGGTTACAAAATGAAAATTACCGTTAACCTTCTAAAATTTCATCGAATCAATACAAGGCAGATCAATATTTAGCTAAAGCAGACTAGAAACACACAGAGCATAGAAACACACACAGAACATAAAAACATACTCTGAACACAGAAACACTCGCACACAGAACATAGAAACACACACAGAACATAAAAACATACTCAAAACACAGAAACACTCGCACACAGAAACACACACAGAACATAAAAACATACTCGGAACACACACACATACAGAACATCAAAAACATACTCTGAACACACACACATACAGAATAAACTCACACACAGATGAACACTGTCATGCATGCATACCTACATAACACACAAGTTTAACAATGAATTATCAGAAATAAAATGTGATGATTTTCTTTCGTGCAACTTCTACTGAAAAATCCTTTCAGAACAAATACAGGTCACCAGATTAATTGAGAAGTTTTTAGAGAAGAATTGAATTTTATTTAAGCTATATATTCCAATTATTGTGTATCTACATAAACATATTTAATTGTGTTTTGGCTTCAATGAAATGTTTGATGAACTATAAATAGCACCTGGTGACACTGACTGGTACCTACAGTGAACTGACAGGTTTTCGTATCGAAGCCGGCATTTACATGGCTGCCGCTACTTCAAGAATGAGGTACACAACACGTTCACAACTACACACACAGTCTCTTCCACATGTACTTCCATCACAACCGGCTCTGTCAACGACCTGCCTTTATACAATAGTCCTCAACATCTCATTTGAATATTCAAGTGGGGCTTGATTCAAACTGACGCTCGTGGGTGCGAGCTTCAGTGCTGGACTATTTCTGTGAAGAGAAGCCTCTGCAAAGCCTGCGGCCAACACTACCCAGTCTGTTCACTTCCTCTCGGAAGAATTCCCACAGCTTCACTCATTCACTCGATCATGACTGGAAGACGACACACCGAGCCTATATGCCTAGCTACAGACAACAGTCGACTTCAAAAACAAGCCAACACCAGCAATTTCTGACAAAATAAAAGCCCACCAAACTTAGCTTAGCTGCAAAAGCATCACAGGTATATCCTCACCCTTTGTCTGCTGCTGTATAAAACTATTTTACCCCAATAAAAAGCTATTTCCCATCTAAAGACATCTACCCTTTCCTGGCGTACACCCAACATATTTTTCATATTTTAAAACCTCAGGGAAGCAAGTTTATGACTAATTATCAAAAAAATATTGATGTTTGCATTAATCCTAAATTTAGACATTAATGCCATTGTATCTTATTGTGAACATTTCGTTTTAGTGATTCGAGTCCTCCAGCAGATTGTAGACTGCTTCTATATAATATATATATATATCTATCTGCCAAATGATGTATGGATATGAAATTATGTCATTTATATCAAGTGAATATTCCCGAGCTTATTCAAACTGACATCAGTTCTAGACCACATATTTATCATGTACAGTAAGTATTGCCTCTATCATACATCATTCAATGTCATGTGTTATATATATGTACACATGTTAAGATACACAGGGGCTGTATTCATGAAACCGTTTTTATGCTCAAGCATATATTTTGTTCTCAAGCTCAATTTCTTGTTTCGTATATAAATAGTTAAAAATAAATAAAAAATCAAGGATTTGGAAAATATTTTGAAGAGTCGAATACTGTTTTCAATGTTTAAATTTTACTTTCTGATCGTTTGACATGATTTAGGCGAGTTACAAGAAAGCTGTTTTGAGCACAGAATCCATGCTTGAACATGAGAATGGTTTCATGAATACGGGCCCAGGTGTGTATATTAAATTAACAACAATAAGTTTTACCTTTCACTGTACCTTAAATTGTTGTTAATTTCAAAATATTTTGGCTCTAAGGATTTTTACCGGTATGTGACACTCAGTGATTTCACATTCAGATTCCAATGCTGGCGGTTATGAAGTTTTGAGATTGTAATCCTATCGGCAGTCCTGACTGTAATAATTTGTATAAATAGCCATAATGATGTGACAATGATGAGGCCAAATACAGTTCAGCCTCCGCAATATCTAATCAGTACTTATAGGGTTCTCTAAATCCAGTCAAGGGTTTTAGGGGACATGATTTTGACATATCTGAACAATAAAAAATTGTCATCTAAAAATAAAAGATTCCAAAGTATACCTCATGACAAAATATAAGTTAATCGGTTCAGATTGGACAATACCTAGTTATAGAGATGGCGCCACTCTGTGACTGAACATTGTCACACCATCTAAGGCTAACTGTCTATGACATCATTGCAAACTAAATTCTTCTTTGGTGATACAACTACAGGAAACAATTGCACATGTTTCCCTGGTCATACAACTACAGGTAACAATTGCACATGTTTCCCTGGTCATAAAACTACAGGTAACAATTGCACATGTTTACCTGGTCATACAACTCCACATGTTTCCCTGGTCATACAACTCCACATGTTTCCCTGGTCATACAACTACAGGTTACAACTCCACATGTTTTCCTGGTCATGCAACTACAGGTAACAACTCCACATGTTTCCCTGGTCATACAACTCCACATGTTTCCCTGGTCATACAACTACAGGTAACAATTCCACATGTTTCCCTGGTCATACAACTACAGGTATCAACTCCACATGTTTCCCTGGTCATACAACTCCACATATTTCCCTGGTCATAAAACTACAGGTTCCAACTCCACATGTTTCCCTGGTCATACAACTACAGGTAACAACTCCGAATGTTTCCCTGGTCATACAACTACAGGTTACAATTCCACATGTTTCCCTGGTCATACAAGCAGGAAACAATTCCACATGTTTCCCTGGTCATACAACTACAGGTAACAATTCCACATGTTTCCCTGGTCATACAACTACAGGTAACAACTCCACATGTTTCCCAGGTCATACAACTACAGGTAACAACTCTTCATGTTCCCATACAACTACTGGAAATAATTCCACATGTTTCCCTGGTCATGCAATTACAGGTAACAACTCCACATGTTCCCTTGGTCATACAACTACAGGTAACAATTCCACATGTTTCCCTGCAGGTAACACATTAAATATTTCCTTGATAATAAACTAAAGATAACAATTTCAATGCTCTCAAGGAAAAACATCACAAGAATTAATTCACAAGTCTCTTTTGTCATACATCTACAAGCTAACAAGTATACTTGACCATAATGTACCATTTGACTGTAACGTTCCCCACGACCATAATGTTGCCAGACCAATTACACTTACAAGTAAGCTAAGTCACTGAACAGTCAACATTCCTGTACAAGTGAGACTCTTTGTTTCAAGAATTACAAGAAAGTATTTTAAAAAAGGACATTCAAGTAAAAAGCTTAAAAGGTATTTTACTTTCAGCTTTGAAAATAAGAAATTTATAACATTTTTCTAAACCAGGGAGTTTTCCTGTTCCTTTCAACAAGGCAAACTGAGGTGAAAGTTCAAGACAGTAAATATTTGCAACAATTTGACCTGATATTATTCCCCTAGAAGTAAATGGTTTACCTTGTGGACAGGCCTTGGAGTGTTGTAAGTCCAGTGGGTGGGAACCAGGTAAAATGACTAGAGAATCCATACCTGTAGTGTCTATCACTTCGTACACATGTAAAGGTGGTTCTGGCAAAACCAAATCGAACAGTGTTAACTCCCGACAACAAGTCTCAACTTTTTATCTGAATAAGAGTTGAAAGACTCGCCTACATATCAGAATGAAAACTAAACCATTCAGGTAATGGTAGTAGGAAGTGCAGTCGAAGAGTTAACAAGTCAGCTGTAATTCGGCGTATGACTCGGGTCATGTCACACAGCTCAACACATGGTCTGAGTCAACCAGCGCACACCGCCTACGTATGTACAACTGTATGGCCCTGTGCTACGTAGTGCTCAGTACGTAGGAAATCTTTTGTAAACAAGCACACGCTACCCAGTGTGTACATGTGTAAACAACACACACACTCGCACATTGTACACACCGACAAAGACATTCCCGGGGTCTCCCATACTTGACCAGGTAGCCAATCACCACACCCACATTCTACATCAGCGTGTGTTGGTTTGGTGTGAGCACATGTGTACGTGTATATAATATCACAGTTTTTCAAATTGCCTAGAGTACTGAACACACACCAGCTGACATTGTACAGAAATCTGAACAAGCCAATGTTTAAAAACTTCAAGCAGTAAGACTTTAACAAAATATGTACAGAAAAGCCCAGCTGTAATTTCTACAATGCTAAAGGCTTATATTACTTTATAGTGCAGATAGGCATCAAGCTGTAAAATAGGTTTGGAAAACCGACAAATCAGACACCTGTAGTACAATCAAAATAACATAAATCCACATTTAAATACTGGAAACAGACCACATACATTATTTAGACTTTTAAAGATTTACAAATCGAAATAAAGGATGGAATGTAAATTTACGGCAGTAGTACTTCTAATGAATATATTATTTGAATAAGCAGTGAAGCAGGACTTTTAGTCCTCCTATGGTAACCTCTCTGTGGGCCCCAATGATTCATGGTATACAGTACTGTGTAAGGTGTGTGGGGAGGGGGTGTGCCCCTGGAGGGGATGGGCCAGGTCACTAAGGGTATAACCGGAATCAGGTGTTTGAAACGAATAGCCACCAGCCACCGAGAATTTATATCTATCGGTTAATGTATATAGAAGAAACACCGGTGTGTATATATAATAGTACTTGTTGGTGTATTAAACTGCAGTGCATTATTATGTAGGTCACTGTGATGTCAATGGTAGGCGAGTGACATTTAAATGTTATAGTCTAGATAGTGGTCTGGATTTGTAGTGAAACAGTTTCCAATATATTACCAAATCATACATTTTTTTTTTTTAATATATATAGGATCTTAATGAGTTTTCATTTCATATGAGATTTAATGAAACGAGCAAAAATTAAAACTTCGAGACGAGTTTCATAAAAGCTCAT